TCCACCTACTGTATAGGCCTGGCCACCACACTTGTCCTAGAAGCAATTATTAAGTGTCTTGTTTGAATTTTTGTTGTTTGTTTGGTTTTTGTGGGACTGGGCTTTGAACTCAGGGCCTCATGCTTGTTAGGTAGGTGCTCTTACTACTTGAACCACTCTGCCAGCCCAAGTGTCATGTTTTAAGACAAAAGAAATCTAATAGTACTGGAACTTAACAGGGCCTTAAAACAGAAATGATTCTGCTGTCTAAGAAAACGCCAGTGCCCGGCATGTCTTAAAAATTTTTAAGAGATGGGTCAGTCACAGTGGCTCACACCTATAATCCCAGCTACTCAGAGGGCAGAGATCAGAAGGATCACAGTTGAAGGACGGCTCAGGCAAAAAGTTAACATGACCACATCTTGACAAGCTGGGCATGGTGGTTCATACTTGTAATCCCAGCTAAGTGGCAGATAAAGGTAGGATGATCCCAATCCAAGGCTGGCTGCAGGCAAAAAGTGAGACCCTATCTGAAAAATAACAAAAAAGCAAAAAGGGCTCTGGGGTATGTAGTTCAAGTGCTAGAAAGCTTGCCTAGTAAATGCAAGAAGGTCCTGAGTTCAAATCCCAGCACCACAAAGCAAAACAAAACAAAGACCTTTTAAGAGGTTTCAGGACATTTTGGCACACACTATAATCCCAGCACTCAGGAAGCCTAAGGCAAGACAGGAGGACTGACAGTTTTATGCCAGCCTGGGTTGCATAGGAAAACCCTGTCCCCTCTCCAAAAAAAAATCCACTACCAACAACCAACTTTTAAGAAAGTCCCCAAGTGTTAAGTAATGAAGCCAATAGCTCAAGCTAATGTATTTGTAAAGCCTTATTCCTCGAGACAGGATGCTGAATACCTGCAGCTCCAGACTGGTTTGGGAGTTTTTCTTCTCTGAGCAAAACCAAAGGTCAAACAAGATCACCCACAACTCCAGGAGATGGGGGTTGAGAGATCAAAAAACGGAGCATTCACAAGCAAAGAGGACCCAGGAGGCCTCTTGCGTAGAAAGCAAAGACTCCTGCTAAAATGGAATAGAAGACTCCATATCCTTTCCTTCACTTGGACTCCCTGACAGAGGTGAATTCTGTCACCCTCCTGAATCCTAGTAAGCAAATGCAGCTCTGGATGGGAAATGATGCCACCTAGAGGAATGTTGGGGATATTCGGCAGACTTGTTCCATTGCATACTTCCTGCTTCAGTCACTGGGCAGGAACGTTTCCTGATTTCACTGTCCTTGTCCCTTACTCACTGCTGGGGAGCCACACTGCCATTTTCCTATGTTGATGCTTGCTCTGCACCATCCCAGAGTGACTTTGGGAGCTGAAGTGCTCTATCCTGAAGAATACTGAAGACACAACTAAGATGAGAAAGGCATCTACAAAAATGGTGTGTCTGTTGCAAATGTGTAATGATTATGAGCACCTCACAGCTCCAGGGCAGCTAACAGCTGGGCACAAGATTAAATACCTGACTCCAAAAGAACCATTTTCAAATTTCTGCTGCAAAAGTCACTCTGGAAAGACACATGGGAGGGTAGATTTCAATGTGCTCTCTCTCTCTTTTTTTTATTTTGTTGGGCACTGGAGTTTGAACTCATGCTTGCTAGGCAGGCTCTTTTACCACTTGAGCTACTCCACTAGCAGCCCTGTCTGTCTCTTCTTTTGACTCTAGGAGTCTCCTGGTACTTTTTTTATTTGATGGATTTCTTACAATCCCAAAGCAAAAATATGAACTGGGACAAGTTGGTGTATGGCAATCCCACATCCTAGTCTCTGCTACAGCTCATTTCTGATTCATGATACACTTAGGACTATCTTCTAAGAAATGCTCTGGTTCTATATCTCATTATGTCAGAATCTCTCATTCTCTTTAGTATAAAAAGAAATAGCTAGCTAATCCGTCAAAGTGAAAGAAAAACCAATCTTATACAAGCAGAGGACAATTAGGGAAGCTGACGATTAACCAGGAGACTCTGTCTCTGGTAACTTGTGAAGACCAACCCCTCTTTTGTGAAACATTTTTGTGGCTTAATCCTAAAGAGGGGTGCTAATGAAGGAATTTAAAGTTCTAGCAGGAAGGCCACCATTGGCCAATGAGAGAGAAAAAAGATGTCACTGTTGTTTTGTTGTTAATCTTCACATATAATTCCTAAGTGGCCAAGGTGAAGAACCACTGGGAGGAATGAGCTTGACATACTGGAGAACAAAGAAGTGAAACAGAATGGAAAGTTTGGTTGGACAGAGAAGGTAGGAAGCTTAATGACAATGAAACAATACTCTTAACATGGAGGGGAAATTTTTAAATTTTACAAATTATCAATCAAGGTCTCAAGATATTTCCATTGTAGGATATGTTCCATCAAAAAGAAGTAATAATCCAAATAAGAGAAAGACATGGTACACAGAGAACAGGCAATCTAAGATATAATAAAGAAAATCATAGGCTGGGTATGGTCTCTCACGCCTGTAATCCTACCTACTCAGGAGGCAGAGTTCAGGATGATCATGGTTTGAGGCCAGACTAGGAAAAAGTTGGTGAGACCCCACCTGAACGAAATAAGCTGGGAGTGGTGATACATGCCTGTCATCCCAGCTATGTGGGAGGCATATAGGTAGATTGTGGTCCAGGATGGACCAGGAAAAAACATTAAGATCCTATCTAAAAATTAACTAAAGTTAACAGGACTAGGGACATGGCTTAAGTGGTAGAGTGGTAGAGCACCTGCCTAACAAGTGCCAGGCCCTCAGTACTAAACCTCAGTACTAAAAAAAAGAAAAAGAAAATCTCAGGATGATGATGAAGGTACATCCCGAGATAATGAACATACACAAGGGAAACGAAGGTGAATGATCTACAATAGAGTAGATCAGAAGGTTCTAGAAAAGTTTATTCCAGATGAGATTATTAGAATTCTTATTATCTGGAAGTCTTTTTCCTTTCTTTTTTTTTTTTTTTGTAGTGCTGGGCATCAATCTAGCCTTCTATATGTTGAGCCAGGTGGTCTACCACCCTGTCACACCCTCAGTCCCAGAAGTGCTGAGATAAGATTTAGATGATTGGTGGAGAATCTGGGGTTGAATTAGTGATAAGTACACAGAATACAAGCAAGTGGAAGAAAGATAATTACTAGCTCTGGGGAGTTTAAAGTGTAAGAAAGGAAAATTAATCATGGTTTTCCTACTATACATTTCAGTTCTGAAGAGCATAGTCATAAAAACTAGCTGACTTAACTACACATCTATATTGGGAGGATGAGAAGTATGTCTGTGTGTAGAGAGAGGTCAATAGTGACAAAATCAAGAAGCATTAAGTAGTAAAGCACGTTAGTTAGACACAAGATAGTACATACCAAAACAGTCAAGTTTGAGTTGAAAGTGGTTGCCTCTGAGACCAAAAAAAAAGGGGGGGGGAAAGAGGGCAGGTGACAGCTGTCTTTCATAGACTTTGCAGAATAGCACACTTTAAACCTGTGCTTTTCAAATTGTGCTTTGTACTCTCTTTAGAGCTGTGCTGTCCAAAATGGAAATAAAATCACAAATTCAGCTACTCAGTCACACTAACCACATTTCAAATGCTCAATAGCCACATGTTGGTGGCTTCTGCAATGAATAGCAAGGATAGAGAACACTGTAAACATCATGGAAAGTTCTACTGGATGGCATCATTTTACAGCATCATCAAATCAATTCAGTGGATTAAAAACAAATAGAAAACCAGTGTACATCTCATCCGTACTGTTTTTTCACAAATTCATCTTTGTAAAATATTATTTTACATACACGCAAGTATATGTGCACAGCATTCTGGATCACAATAAGATATTTGAAAACACCACTTTAAAATCTGTGTGTACAACCCTATTAAAAATAAAACATGAGCCAGGCATGGTGGCACACAACTGAAATCCAAGAACGTGGGAGGTTGAGGTAGGAGGATCATAAGGCTTGAGGCCAACCTGTGAGAACCTTGTCTCAAAAGACCAATCAAACAAACCGTGAGGGGTCTTTATTCCTAGAATTCTCACTTTGTGTGATGACACCATCCACAGCCTCACATCCCGGTGGAAAACTTGGAATCTAGACATCATTTTAATAAAATAAAGCCAGCCTGGGACAGCAATAATGCAATAAGAAATCCAGACATGGTAAACCTTAGGGAGGCTCTTTTGTCATTTATCTTTCTTTCTTGGCAAAGGCATCTTTCTTGGAGTCTATGCTTTCTTTGTTTTTCAAACAGAAAGAAGAAACTAAGGGTGAAATATCATTATGAAATCTGACCACTGTTTTATAGCTAGTGACAGAATGAGCCAAGTCTCCTAACACTAAATCTAAAACTCTTTCCACAAAATCTTCAGGGACAGAAAATTTTTCAATGCCCTGAGTGTGCTAGTCAGTACCAAAACCAACCTGATTGATGAATATTGTCCACACAGAATACCAATTACCACAATAGCTAATGTAAGCTATTGTTCTAAACACTTTACATGGGTACTTAATTTTAACCCTCACAACAAGCCTATGAGGTAGATCCTATTATAAATCAAATCCACTTCCCAAATGGAGAAATACTGTTCAGGATATTAATTAACTTGCTCAAAATTCTCAAAACTAGTGAGTGGCAAAAGCAAGAAATAAAAGCAGTCTGGTTCCAGAGCTCTCAACGCTGCCTTATACATACTCCCATATAATTCATCATTTCCCTAAATATAAATTAGCCTAAATGTAACTGTTACCATTTATTAGAATCTACCATTAATCTATACAATATGACTACGGTTTGTCACACAATTTCACTGTTGCAAAGGGACTGTACTCTATTGATGCATTAAAGTAATTGCTTTGGATGCAAATAATCCAAATCTAGGTTAACATCTTGATATAATTCCACAAACTTAGAAATGGGGGCTTTAGAAAGGTTTGGTTAATCTTCAAATTTACAGGTTTTATCTCGACGCATAGTAAGTACAAATTGGATTGATAACATGGGTGAATTTATTTCATATGATTTGAGTGCAAACTTAAAAACAAGGACAAAGCTTTTCATCAAGAGTAAAGACAAAATCTAAATAACATTCCTGCAATCGTGCATTTTAACAGAAAGTACAAATATGAATACATAATTTTTTATTACATTCAAAAAATTAAAATATTTCTTTCCAAATCCCAAACGCCACACAATCTTTAACCCATTCTTATCTTCTTACTTTAGAAACATTTGTCATATGCTATCAGGAAAGCATAGGCAAGGATTACTAACCAGTCTCTGAGATCAAACACGCACAACTCCCCTTTGTTTCTGACTTTTTGAATCATTCACCTGTATTTCAGTTCTAAAAAGTCACACAATTAATTATACATCCACTCTAGGAAACAAATGAATACAAATATCAAGGAGGCAAGATACTTTCATATGATTAAAGCAAAAGTCACAAGTGTTTGACTTAGAAATGTACATACTTGTAGTAAATTTATCAAATACAACTTTATTTGATGGCTGACATGTAATAATAACTGTGAACGATTTAAACAGGTATAAAAGTGTGAGATCGAAATCTTTAGGCTCAAATACTTAAAAAGTCACTATGAATATGGAAAGATATCTGTTTTCATAAACATGTATTTTTTGGATGAAAAATCAGGGGGTAGTGGCATCTCCCTGGTCCCTTAACAATATTTGGATTTTTGCAAAGAATTAGCAGCACCCAACCGTCAGCATTAATGATACATTTTGAAAGGACCTCTTCAACAGATCAGTTGGCAGTGTTCCAGCTTTTGGGAGATGGGGGTGGGGTTGCAAACATCTGAGATAAAATGGTATGCATGCACTCATATGTTAAAATCACCATTCCAAATGGAGGACCACATATTGGAAAAGTCTAAGAAAATCACCCTTAAAGGATAAACAGCAGCCAGGAATAATAGAAGCTGAATAGTAGTCTACTTGATAATGGTTTTTCACTCTTCAAAGGCAAGTTGGGAAGAATGAGAATACTCAGACATAACTTCAAGGAAAATTTGTCTAGAATTTTACTTTGCAGAACACTGCACAGAAATCTTTACAAAAACCTTCATTCTTGCTTATATTACCAGATGATTTTTCCTCATTACCACCATATACATAACATTTAAATATTCTCTTTATAAATATTTGAGAGCGAAAGGAATTTATCTTGTAGTGGTGGCCCACACCCGTACAATGCAATGTAAGCAACACACACACACACACACATATAAAATGTATATATATATATATAATGATTAAGAAAAAGTGCAAAGAATAACAGTATTAAGAACTTTTGCTTTTTACAGTAACTATGGTTCAAGTGTGAATATCTATCAGGGACATATAATCCCAGCCTTTAATTAAAGATTTAAAAAGAAACCCACACTCCAAGTTACTGAGCACATATCAGTCCCTTACCCAGTAACTCTGCCCTTCTCCCAAATCTAGTATTTCCAGTTTCTAAATTCTTCACAAACAGGAAGAAAGTGGTAACAGTGTTTTCTTCTCTTTAATTTCCCAAAACTCATCCAAGATAATAAGCCACCCGTAGTAGGTCTGAACAAGATTTTGGAGAAGTTACTTGTCATAACCCGCTTTGCTAAAATTAAAGCAAAATGAAAGGCTTTCTGGAATGCAAACTACTGATCAAGAATCAAATCAGCAACAGCAAACAGACCATAAATTACAAATGTAATTTAATATGAGTACATTTAAAAATCAATGCTTGTTATCAACAATAAATTCAGAGACTAAATCTCTTTCCCAGGTTCAGGGCTGTGCAAGGGCCACCATTCCAAACACTTATGATTTCTTCAGCTTTTCTAATACAGAAAATGCTTCCTGTTTAATTTTGACTGACTTTCTATCATTTTCCTCTTGGTCTCAGTCTTTCACTTTGAACAAACACAGAAAGGCATTTTTCACCATTTAAAAAATGTACTTTCTTCTTAAGTAATCCAAATAATTACAGCTACTGATTTTAGATCTCAATGTGTCAAAGGAGTAGTTAAATTTCCTTTCCAATCATATTACTAGATATTTTTGGTATGTATATGTTGTCTTATTCTTAGTTTAGGAACTGTAATTATTCACAATATTATAGTGATTCTATGTGTAACCTATGCAAGAATTATGGTCTTAAAATAATACCTCCTGAGGTATTATTTGACTTTGTAAATTAGATTATAACTGATTTTTCCCTTCAGGATAAAAGGTTGGAAGAGAATTTTAAAGCCTCACAGCACTTTGCTTTGAGTAGTGTTACTACATATTTTCGTCATGCTCACTATTTAAACTTCTGAACTAGGAAGACAATAGACACTGGAAGCTGCAAATTTCCTCAAACTACATTCTACTCCAACTCCATTTTATTTTGTTCAACATTAAATATTCTTCTTTATGAAAACAATTGTATCTTAGGCTAATTTTTTAAAAACAGAATTTCTGCTCTAAAATTAAGAACACATCTAAAGGGAAAAAACTTTGATATCAGCTTCACTAGAACTATACAAAAACTAAGTTAAAGTAGACTTGACAACTATTTTAATCAGTTTTGTTTTTTTTTTTTAATTACCATGTCTTTAGAATGATATACCTTACATTCTAACAGACAGTTCAACAAAGGCTTAAACTCTAGAATTGAAAAACCACCAGATCACTTCCTACATCACCGGAAATAAGAGAGTGACATTTTATTTGCCCCCATACATTCGCTCAATATCCTTGAGGTAATGGTTCCTCAGTTCCTTCCTTTTCAGTTTGAAAGCATCAGTTACCAAACCAGTTTCAGGGGTCCATGGCTCTGGGCTTAAGCGAACCTTAATTGGAATTTCAAATCGCTCTAGTTTCACTGAAATGAGAACGGAAGTGATGGGAGAAAGAGGGGGAAAGAGAGGGGAGAGAAGAGTAATCAATAAAACATGAGTTTTGCCAAATTTACCTAGATGATGCAGGTGATGAGGTAAACTTATTTAATGGTATGTCTGACAATTATTAAAGATACCACTACCTTATAATTTGATTTTATATTTCTCAAAGTATATATAAGTTGTTTCAGTTGGACAGTTTTAAGTCTATGTAGTTTCTATTCAAAGTACACACACACCACACCATCCTATTCAGAGGCTTTATAAAGCCCCGGAAGATTCCCTCTGCCTGGGATTCTCTTCACCAAATATAGTTGCATGGCTCCCTTATTTTATCCAGGTGTCTGCTCAAATGCCACCTCCCCAGAGAGGACTTCCCTGAGCACTCGCAACAAGATAAATCCATTTGTTGCTCTATATCCTCTTACACTAGGTTTTGTTCAAAGCACTTATCCCCTATATATATATATATATATATATATATATATATATATATATATATATGTCTCACGCATTAGAATGTAAGCTCCATGGAAGTATGGTCATTTGTTTATTTCACTGCCATCAACAAGGCTACAATGAAAGCCCTCAATGAATACATACAAGCTTATTAATTCCTTCTACAGAAAATTAAGTCTCTAGACAAATATTCTTCATAAGCTGTAGCATATATTCAAATATGAACCAAAAAGGGGATTGTGAATTTCAATCCTCTTTAAATGGTCTAAGAAGAGATGCAGCACATATTGTACTTGAACTAGACAACCCACTACATGTTGGGGGAAGTATAAGGAAACAAAGACAGAGAGGTAATCAATACAGTATCCAATCACCTTAGCTTAATTCTTAAGAGATTTTTTTTGGCAGTACTGGGGTTTGAATTCAGGGCCTCACACTTGCTAGGCTGGAGCTCTTACTGCTGAGCCACTCCACTAGCCCTTTAGCTCAATTCTTATAACTTAATTTTAAGTTATATTCCACCAAGTAATTTATTTTTAATACAAGGTCATCCTTAAATTCTAAAGGTCCATTAGCAGTAAAGTTAATTTGCACATGAGATTTAAAATAATAATTGTGCAGAAGCAAACATCTGTATGTCTAAAAACCTACTTCTGAATAGCCTAGTTGACTTCATAAACAATTTGGTTTCAGTGGCAAGCATAAAGAATTCAAATTAAGGAGAATTCTTGTTACTGTAGTAGTTTAAGTTTTATGAAACCTTAGTTGAACTAGTAATTTTTTCATTAAAATTAGTAATCAATATAAAGCTGAATATGAAAATAATCTTTCAAATATTACTTAGAACTAACTTACTAAAAATAATTCCTGAATAATTAACAAAGGAACATAAAACTTGCTTGTACTGATCATATCTACTCTCTTAACAGATTACAGCTCAGTTATACAGGGGTGCCGGAAACATCTGCTCCCCAGATCACGTCTGGATCTCAGGAAACATGTAAGTTCTCAAGTATAGATTTGGCTCCAAAATCTTTTATTTTTCTTTTACTTTCCCTACTTACATAGATCGTATTCCAGAAACACTTGAGAAAATCTTAGGAAGGCAAGCATATTATCTCAGTTGTACACAAGTTAATTAAAGCATATGTATAAATGTCCCTATATTTAACCTCCATTAGCAAAACTGCTATTTAAAGAGAAAAAAGGGCTACTTTAGGGGTTTCATTTTGGGAACTCCTAAAGTACCATGAGTTATACAGAGCAATGGATAATCACAGTTTCCTACAAATAGAATAAAGTAATTGCCAATAAATGAGAAAGATGGAAGATTAGGGGAAGGAAAAACAAAAACAATTTTACATATGGCAGTTTTATCTGAATTAACTTGAACATTATAAAGTGTGATCTACAGGTGGCAGCATATATTAATTTTTATAGCGATTGGTAATTGCCCAAGTTACCTGAAAACAATTACTTTGCATTCTTACGATGCCATGGATACCTCACACTTAAATTTAAACATGAAGAAGTCTGCTAGAAAAGATGTATAACTTTAGACAGACTAGCTGAATACAATTCTGATTATTTTATATTATTTCACTTCCCAATCAATGTTCTGATAGGCTTTGTCTGACCACTCTGCCAATATGAAACTGGTGCTCATTCCCTTTCCTGCAGCTCTCTCAACACTGTTCTGCACTCTTTGTTCTCCATGCATCTTAAATGCTGGTGTTGTCCAGGGGCCCATCCTCAGCCTTCTGTTACCACTTTACATTCTCTCCCAAAGTCAGCCCATCCACTTTTGTAGCTTTGACTATCCTGAAGTCTATACAACAACCCAAGCTTCTCTCATAAGTTTCAGACCAGCATATACAACTGTCTGCTGGATATTTCAACTTTGATTATCCAACAGGCATGTCAAACTATGTATGCCCCAAACTGGCTTCATCATCTTCTCCTATTAGCTGTTTCTCATTCTGTTTTTTTTATAGCTCAGTCAGTAGGAACATCTACTTTGCCATTTGAGCTATGATCTAGGGGCCACCACAAACCCCTTGCCTATGTTATAGATCAAATTTTGCCTCCTAAATGTTTCTTTTTTTGGGGGGGAATGGTCCTGGGGGTTTGAACTAGGCAGGCACTTTACTACTTAAGCCACTCCACCAGCCCTTCTAAATGTTTCTTGATTCCCTAGTTCAGGCCCTTGTCATTCCCACCTTCATCAAAATACCTACTACAGCTCTCTTAAACTGGCCTTCTGCCTTAGTCCAGCACTACCCCCTCAATCCCTGCCTCAAATGCATCTTTAGTCTGGCCTCCAGAGTGAGTCAATTTACCAGAGATGAAAATCTGACTATATCACTAACCTGAAAAAACCTTCCCATTGCCTACAGAATTAAGTCCAAATTTTGGTAAATGGCATACATATCTCTACAGCCTCACCTAGTATTTTACCAAGAACATCAAATTCCTTGTTATTCTCTGCACAGAACTCCTTTTGTCTTTACTAGTTAGTGCCTTGGCCCAAAATGCCTCTCTAGTCAATTCTAATCAATCCTGAAAAATGAACTTAAGTAATATCTCTATAAGGAAACCTTCCATAACCTCCCAGATGGAGTTAGGTCAGTCCTCTCATTCACAGTGCCAGGATTATCAGTTCATATCTCTAGTGCTATTAAGACTACTATCTCTTATGTCCCTCTCATTGGATAATGAGCTCCTTGAGAGTAAGAATTGTCTTCCCACCTTTTGTATTCCTAATGTCTTATACACTGTTTGGCACGTGGTATATATTCTGATGGTCTCCAATTAGTTATAAATGCACCATCTGAGATAGTCCATGTACAGAGCCAAAAGCACACTCACAGCTATGCCATTTATTAAAGACTTATCAGTTTTTACTTTGCATATACAATATACCTACAAAACACATATCTCCAAAGATGGACTGCTCTAAAGATAGACTAAATAACCACTTGGCAGGGATATTGTCACAAGAAATAAAGAATTGGATAGGGGCAGGAGGCATGGCTCTAGCAGTAGAGCACCTGCCTAACAAGCATGAAGCCCTGAGTTCAAACACCAGTACTGCCAAAATAATTAGACACTTTACCATATGACACTTAAGGATCTTTCCTACATGGAAATTCATTATATACTCTTAAAAGAGGTAGGATCCTTTGAACCCCATATTTTATTATTAACACATACCTTGAAGAGTATAATGCATAAGATATTATAAGAAGACTTATGGACTTCAGTAGTCTAACAACATTATACTTACTAGCATTTGCAGCTTCTCGAATTTCTTTCAGTATTTCTGCTTCCATGGCAGGATTGTTGCAGATGTCAACCCAAGTTCCTTCTACCCCCTTCTGTTGTGCCAAAAGTGTCAACCTTTTCTGATTAGGAACCACAAAACTGATTACATAGGACTGGTCACTAAAAAATTAGAAAATAAAATAGAAATTAAAACATTGTGCAAAATTATTCAAATTACTCAGTGAAATGTATAGTATGAATAATTTTAAATATACATTCCTCTTATTTGTTAAATTTTCATTAAGAAGTATTAAAACCCATAGTACTAACATAAAGACAAACAGACCAATGGACAGAAAAGAGAGCCCAGAAATGAGCCCTTGCATCTATGCAAATGGGTGTTAAGACCACTCAACGGCAAAAGGGCAGTTTCTTCAATAAATAGTGCTGGAAAAACTAGATATCTACATGCAAAGGATGAAGGTGGACCTTTACCTTACAAAAGATACAAAAATTAATTCAAACTAGATCAAATACCTAAACATTTAAGAGCTATAAGATCTTAAAACCCAGAGGGAAATTCTTCACAAAAATAGATTTGGCAGTTTTTCTTAGAAAAACTGTGGAAAACAGTATGGCAGCTCTTCAAAAAAATTAAAAATAGAATTACCATAAGCTCTAGCAATTCTGCACTGGAGTATTTATTCAAAAAGAACTGAAATGAGACTCTTAAAGAAAAATTTGTATACCCGTGCTCACAGCAGCATTACTCACAATAGCCAAGAGGTGCAAGCAAAGTAAATGTACATTGACAGATGAATATATAAACAAAATATAGTTCTATGTACAATGGGATATTATCTAGCCATAAAAATGAAAGAAATTCTGATATATACACAACATGGATGAACCTTGAGGACATTATGTTAAGTGAAATAAGCCAATCATAAAAAGATAAATACTGTACAATTTTTCTTATATGAGGTATCTAGATTAGTCAAATTTATAGAAGCAGAAAGTAGAATGGGGGCTTTCAGGGTTCAAGGGAAGGGGGAAATGGAGAGCTGTTTAATGGGTAGAGAGTTTCAATTATGCAAGATGAAAAAGTGCTGGAGATTCAGTGCACAACAATGTAAATACACTTAATGCCACTAAACTGTACACTTAGAAATAGCAAAGATGATATTTTTTTTACTTTTCTTTACAATTATGATTAAAAATGATAAAGTCATAAAAATAAAACATATTAAAGAAAATGATTCAATCTCTTAGGCTTTTGATTTTGAAAACCTTGAGTGGAAAGCTCGTCTCAACACATAGTAGCTGAGTGACCTTTTTGGAAAAATTGCTTAGGCTAAGTCTCAGTTGTTGTGGGTATTAGATGAAATAACTTGTGATAAGAATTTAGTAAGAGAGTAGGTGTCTAATATATAGTTATAATATCTAAATTGTCACAAGTAAGCTCCAAGCTGTTGAACTCTAGAACCTTCCTAACTGTATAATTTCCCAACCTATGATGAAAACTCTTAAGAGGAGTTTGATGTTACTCTTGTGGTGACATATAGTCAAATTCTTTTCTAATTTTCCTTTTACTATAAGTATATGAAACACAAAACACAACTTTTGAAAGTTACCTTTTGGCAAAAGCACAGATGTTGTCAATAAGTGGACAATTCTTCAGGGCTGCTTCTACTTTCCCAAGAGAAACATATTCTCCTGCTTGTAACTTCACCAGATCTTTCTTACGATCTATAAGGTCATGAAGAATGTTAAGTGATTTTCAGTCTGTTTCATTAAAGTATGTACAATGCTGATTTTCTTTGAATGTGGTTGTGTTAGTTTTTATTTACAAAGATGTTTCTTCTAGAATTTTGCTGTATATAATACTTGCCAAAATGCCTAAAGAGGTACTAGTTTAAAAAAGTTATACCCTATACCAAAGCTATAACATCTTTTTTTTTTTGTAGCACTGGGGATTGAACCCAGAGCCTTGCATAGGATAAGGCAAGCACTTTGCCACTTGAGCCATAGCCCCTCCAGAACTTTTGTTTGGATTTTGTTTCTGAGATAAGGTAATAGTATCTTTGTCTGGGCTGGACTCGAACTTGTGATCCTCTCGTACCCATCTCCCCTCCTATGTCACTGGAATTATAGGCATGTGCCACCATACCCAGTCTAAGTTTTAATATTTTATCAAAATCTTAATTATTACAATGAAGTTAATGGAAGGAACAGACTTTGGGGGCATGAGATTTGAATGGAAGGTCAGCCTAGTACTAGTTATAGTGATCCTTGGCATGTCAGTTAGTCTCTCTCATTTTTGCTTTTTTTTTAATCAGAGATACCTACCTCATACATACATGTCACACAGTGTCTTTCATATAGAACACATTCAACAAATATTAATTCCAATTATTCCATATATGGCATTATCTTTTTAAAATTATAGCATGCAAAGAAAGTACTGGCATAGCTGAAGAAATTAGGAATAGAAGAAATGTACCTCAACATAATAAAGACTATATACAATAAACTTGGAGCCAACATTGTACAAAATGGGAAAGAATGAGACAAGGGTGCCACCCTTCCCACTTTTATTCAGTCCAATGCTAGAATTCTTAGCCAGAGCAATAAGGCATGAGAAAGAAATAAAAGGGATACAAATAGGAAAAATCTAGTCAAATTATCCCCATGTGCACATGATATAATCCTATACCTAAAAGACTCTAAAGACTCCACATAAAAACTTATGTTTCATAAATGCTTTTGGCAAAGTAGCAGGATACAAAATCACGTACAAAAGCCAGTAGCTTTTCTATACTCCAATAATGAATGGACTGAGAAAGAAATCAGAAAAACAATTCAATTCACAATAGCTTCAAAAAAATTAAATACCCAGGAATAAATCTAACAAAGGAGGTGAAAGACACTGAAATAAAAACTATAAAACATTGAAGAAAGAAATCAAAGAAGACACTAGGCAATGGGAAGCCCTCCCATGATCATGAATCAGTAAGATTAATACACTGTGAAAATGACTATACTACCAAAGCAATCTACAGATTCAATGCAATCCCTACCAAAATCCCAATGTCAGTTTTTACAGAAGTGGAAAAATCAATCCTAAAACGTATTCAGAAGCACAAAAGATCCCAAATAGCCAAAGCAATTCAGAGCAAAAAGAGCAATGCTGGAGGTATCCCAATACCTGACTTCAAATATACTACAGAGCCATAATAACAAAAACAGCATGGTAGTGGCACAAAAACAAATACACAGATCAGTGGACTAGAATAGAAGATTCAGAAACAACCACACACAGCTATGCCCATCTGATTTCTGACAAAAGTACAAAAAACCTATGTTGGAGAAAAGACAGCCTCTTCAACAAATGGTCTTGGGGAAACTGGACGTTCACATGTAGAAGACTGAAATGAGACCCCTGTCTCTCACAGTGTTGAAAAAAAATCAATTCCAAATGGATCAAAGATCTTAACGTAAGACCAGAAACTTTGAAACTGCTAGAGGAAAACAGAGAAAATCCTTGGAGATATAGGCATAGGTAATGCTTTTCTGAATAGAATCCCAATTGTTTAGAAAGTAAGAATTGAAAAATGGGTTCACATCAAATTAAAAAGCCTCTGCACAGCAAAAGAAACTACCAGAATCAAAACAAAACCTATAGAATGGGAGAAGATCTTTGCCAGTTATTTATCAGATAAATGATTAATATCCAGAATATATAAAGAGCTCAAAAAAGTCAAACAGCCAAAGAACAAATACTCCAGTTTAATAAGTGTATAAATGAATTCAACAGAGTTTGCAAGAGAAGAAATACAAATGGCTAATACATGAAGAAATGTTCAACTTCCTTAGTCATAAAGGAAATGTAAATCAAAATAACATTAAGATCCCATCTTACCCCAGTCAGAATGGTAATCATCAAGAAAACAACAAATGCTAGTAAGGATGTGTGGGAAAAAGGAACCCACACACACAGTTGGTAAGAATGTAAATTAGTGCAGCCACAATGGAAATCATTATGGAGGTTCCTCAAAAACTAAAAATAGAACTACCATATGATCCAGCTATACCACCCCTTGGCATATACAAAAAGAAATATAAGTCAGCATACAATCAAGATAGCTACATACCCATGTTCATAGCAGCATTACTCACTCACTATCACCAAACTATGAAATCAGCCTAGATGCCCATCAACTGATCAATGGATAAAGAAAATATGATGTATTATATATATGTATATATATACACACACACACAATGGAGACGGATTATTATTTAGCCATAAAGAACAATACAATTATGTTGTTTGCAGAAAATGGGTGGAGCTGGAGAACATAATATTAAGCAAAATAAGCCAGAGTGAGAAAGACAAATATCACGTATTCTCTCTCATATGCAGAATCTAAAACTTAAAAAGTGAATGACAGGAGAGTAAAACAGGGACTCTTTGGGAGTGGAAGCTAGCAGCAGGAGGAGGGCAAAAGGAGAGGATGCTAAGGGTAACATATGATTGAAGTACTTTATACACATGTATGAAAATCGAATAATGAATCCAGTTAAAACTGTTTTAAAAGGGAGGGGTAATAGGCAACAGTAATAGAAGGACTGAATTTGATCAAAGTGTATTGTATGCATGTATGGAAATACCATAATGAAACTGCCTTGTATGATTAATACACACTAATATAAAAGTTTTTAAAAAGTACTGGCACTGGATGATCTAGCTTGAATAATCATCAGCTTGACAACTTTCTTGTGAGCACTGACTGACCTACCCATAGCCCGAGATCCCACTCTACAGAAACAACCTTTATGTAAATCTATAAATGTAATACAGCACATTAATGGAAGCAAAGTCAAAAACCACTTGATCATCTCAATAGATGCAGAAAAAGCCTTTGACAAGATCCAACACCACTTCATGATAAAAGCTCTAAGAAAACTAGGAATAGAAGGAATGTACCTCAACATTATGAAGGCTATATATGACAAACCTACAGCCAACATCATACTTAATGGCGAAAAACTGAAACCATTTCCCCTAAAATCAGGAATGAGACAAATGTGCCCACTATCCCCACTCCTATTCAACATAGTACTGGAATTTCTAGCCAGAGCAATTAGGCAATAAGAAGAAATAAAAGGAATATAATTAGGTAAAGAAACTGTCAAAATATCCCTATTTGCAGACAACGTGATCGTATACCTTATAAAGACCCAAAGAACTCTACCCAAAAACTCTTAGACACCATAAACAGCTATAGCAAGGTGGCAGGATACAAAATCAACTTACAAAAATCATTAGCTTTTCTATACACCAACAACGAACAAACTGAGAAAGGATACATGGAAACAATTCCATTTATAATAGCCTCAAAAAAAATCAAATACCTAGGAGTAAAGTTAACTAAGAATGTGAATGATCTCTACAAGGAAAACTACAAACCCCTGAAGAAAGAGACCGAGGAAGACTACAGAAGGTGGAGCGATCTCCTGTACTCATGGATTGGTAGAATCAACATAGTAAAAATGTCTATACTCCCAAAAGCAATCTACATGTTTAATGCAATTCCCATCAAAATCCCAATGACTTTCATCAGAGAGATTGAAAAATCTACCCTAAATTGAAAAATCTACCATACTCAGCAAAAAAAGCAATGCTGGAGGTATCACAATACCCGACTTCAAACTATATTACAAAGCAGTAACAATAAAAGCATGGTACTGGAACAAAAACAGAATAGAGGATCCAGATATGAATCCACACAACTATGCCCACCTTATTTTTAGTACCACAAAGGCACTAAAAACATACGATGGAGAAAAGACAGCCTCTTTAACAAATGTTGTTGGGAAAAGTGGTTACCCATCTGCAAAAAAACTGAAACTAGATCCATGTTTATCACGCTGCACTACTATCAACTCAAAATGGATCAAGGACCTTAATATCAGACCCGAAACTCTGAAGTTAGTACAGAAAGGAGCAGGGAATACTTTGGAAGTAATAGGTATAGGCAAAGACTTCCTCAATAGAACCCCAGCAGACCAGCAACTAAGAGAAAGGATGGACAAATGGGACTTCATAAAATTAAAAAGCTTCTGCACAACAAAAGAAATGGTCTCTAAACTGAAAAGACCACCCACAAAGTGGGAGAAAATATTTGTCAGCTATACATCAGACAAAGGACTGATAACCAGAATATACAGAGAACTTAAGAAACTAAACTCTCCTAAAATCAATGAACCAATTAAGAAATGGGCAACTGAACTAAACAGAACTTTCTCAAAAGAAGAAATTCAAGTGGCCAAAAAACACATGAAAAAATGCTCACCATCTCTAGCCATAAAGGAAATACAAATCAAAACCACACTAAGATTCTACCTCACTCACCCATTAGAATAGCTGTCATCAAAAACACCACCACCAACAGGTGTTGGCGAGGATGTGGGGAAAAAGGAACCCTCGTACACTGCTCATGCAACCACTCTGGAAAAAAATTTGGAAGCTTTTTAAAAATCTAGACATAGATCTGCCATATGATCCAGCAATCCCACTCCTGGGGATATACCCAAAGGAATGCGACACAGGTTACTCCAGAAGCACCTGCACACCCATGTTTATTGCAGTTCTATTCACAATAGCCAAGTTATGGAAACAGCCAAGATGCCCCAGCACTGAAGAATGGATTAAGAAAATGTGGTAATACTATCTCCACTCCTATTCAACACAGCACCGGAATTCCTAGCCAGAGCAATTAGGCAAGAAGAAGGAATAAAAGGAATACAAATAAGTAAAGAAACTGTCAAAATATCCCTATTTGCAGATGAATGATCCTATACTTAAAGACCCAAAAACTCTACTCAGAAGCTCTAGACATATCAATAGCTATAGCAAGTAGCAGGATATAAAATCAACATAGAAAAATCATTAGCATTTCTATACACAATAATGACAAACTGAAAAAGAATGTATGAAACAATTCCATTACAATAGCCTCAAAAAAAATCAAATACCTAGGTGTAAACCTAACAAAGATGTGAAAGACCTCTACAAGGAAAACTATACACTTCTGAAGAAAGAGATTGAGGAAGACTATAGAAAGTGGAGAGATCTCCCATGCTCATGGATTGGTAGAATCAACATAGTAAAAATGTCGATACTCCAAAAGTAATCTACATGTTTAATGCAATTCCCATCAAAATTCCAATGACATTCATTAAAGAGATTGAAAAATCTACTGTGAAATTTATATGGAAACACAAGAGGCCACGAATAGCCAAGGCAATACTCAGTCAAAAGAACAATGCAGGAGGTATCACAATACCTGACTTCAAACTATATTACAAAGCAATAACAATAAAAACAGCATGGTACTGGCACAAAAACAGACATGAAGACCAGTGGAACAGAATAGAGGATCCAGATATGAAGCCACACAACTATAACCAACTTTCTTTGACAAAGGAGCTAAAATATACGATGGAGAAATAGCAGCCTCTTCAACAAAACTGCTGGGAAAACTGTGTTAGCAGTCTGCAAAAAACTGAAACTAGATCCATGTATATCACCCTATACCAAGATTAACTCAAAAATGGATCAAGGATCTTAATATCAGACCAAACTCTAAGTTGATACAGAAAGAGTAGGAAATACTCTGGAGTTAGTAGGTATAGGTAAGAACTTTCTCAATGAAAACCCCAGCAGCACAGCAACTAAGAGATAGCATAGATAAATGGGACCTCATAAAATAAAAAGCTTC